ATATATATATATATATATATATATATATATATATATATATATATATATATATATATATACAACAGTTCTGTCAGGTTCTCAAATCTGATTGGCTGATAGCCGTGCGATATTCTGCAATATCAGAACTCCTACAGCCTCTTTACCCTTTGTGTATTACTGCGCCCACATACAGCCAACAAAAAGCAGACACTGCAGATCTAAAGTTTAAAAGATGCTTGCTCAACTGTTTAACTGTCAGCTTATGATTTGAATCCAATGTGGAAGAAAGTAGTTCCTCATACGAAGGGGTTTTTGAGACTCTCCATGTTTGATTTTGTTTTTATATACACGATTATGCCGTCAAACTGTTGTATAAACGCAATATCACACGAGTAGCAGTGCGATATGGCTGTATATCGGCACTGGTGGGGCACTAAGGAAGGCACTTGTATATATTGTTCATATATATATGAATATAAATATATATAGTTGAAGTCTGAATTATTAGACCTACTGAATTATTAACCCCCCTGTATATTTTGTCCCTAATTTCTGTTTAACAGAGAGTTTTTTTTTTTTTTTTGCATAATAGTTCTGATAACTCATTTCTAATAACTGATTACTTTATCTTTGGCATGATGACAGTACATAATAGTCTACTAAATTTTTTTAAGATACTAGCATTCAGCTTAAAGTGCTATTTACAGACTTAACTAATTAGATTACTTAAGTTAGGGTAATTAAGCAGGTCATTGTATAATGTTTTTTTGTTCTAAAGACAATCAGAAACATATATTGCTTAAGGGGGCTAATAATTTTGTCCTAAAAATGGTGTTTAAAAAAGTAAAAACTGCTTTTATTCTAATCGAAATAAAAGAAATAAGACTTTCACCAAAATAAAAATATTATAGGAATTACTGTGAAAAATGCCTCGCTCTGTTAAACATCATTTGGGAAATATTTAAAAAAAGAAAAATCAAAGAAACAAACAAAAAAAAAAATCACAGAAGGGCTAATAATTCTGACTTCAACTGTATATATTTGTTTGCATGCTTGAGGGAGTAGCTGTATGGCAATGATGTGCGTGACCCCTCTCACAACCCTGTTCTCCTGCCACTGAGACTCAGTGAAGCAGAGCTCCGAGAGGAGGCAGGCTGCCATCGCATCTCTCCCAGAGAATGTGCAGCTGTGTCAGGCAGTGCTCTCTGCTTTGCCCCCCCTCCCCTGGGAAAACTCCCTCCAGTAATGAGGCAGCATTCATAAAGGGTCTGCGTCGGCCCACTCCACTGCCATCACTGTGATGGCTGCTCTTAGCCATTATTGGAGGGAGAAAAATAATAATGATAATAAGCAGAGTGATGATTGTAAAGCAACGTTTTTATATTACAGTATATATAGGCTGCAGTCGTGCTGAACTCTTTCCCCTTATACATTGAAAAAAAAAGTTTTTTGCAAAATTATTGCAAACAATTTATAATGGCTGAATTTAAACAATTTAACTTGGTAACAAGTTATAATAACTACACACTATCAACCATTTATTAGGCATTAGTAAATAGTTAATTCATTATCTGGGAGGCGTTTTCTGAAAACCATCATTAGGTATCTTAGGTCACAAGTTTTATCATTACAAACATAGATAGTTGATTTAGTGTTTCCCAAATCCGTCGTTCCAATGCACATTCGCAAACTGCGTCGCAAACTTGTATTCTTGGCAACTACACCTCTGGAGCTGTAGTTAGAAACATAGTTCCTGGCTTTGTTCTATTCCCAGTTATCCCCCTATGCCCTATTTGTTTAGAACCTTCTAACATTTAAACTTGGAATGATTTAAAAAAAGCATTAAGGTCATCTCTCTTAGGTGTCATTTGCTTTCAAAATATTTTTTAGATCAGTTTTAGTGATGTTCATACAATTGTGTTTCCTTCGCAGTGCACTTTTAAAAACATTGATCTCATTTTGAACATAGCCATAGCTCATGACGAAAGCTATAGGTGACCTATTATCTAAAAGCAGAATTTACATTACGTCTCCAAAGCTTGTGAAAACAAAAAAACATAGCATACGTTAATGCTTTTAATTTATAGTAGGTTAATCTTTCAAGCATCTGTACTGTATATGACATGGCCCTGCTGGTTAGAACATTTCTGCAGTGGTTTGCATGTGTCAAATTGTAAAAGTAGACTTTAAAAAAATAAATAAATAAAGAATATCCTACTTAATAATAATAATAATAATAATAATAATAATAATAATAATAATAATAATAATAATAATAATAATTTCCATCATCATCATCACCATCATCATCGTCAATATTATTATTATTATTAAATAAGGATTTTTTTAATTTCCTCATAAATAATACATATTAAATTTAATTTCTTAATAAATCGCCTCATAATTTATTTATTTATTTATATGATTTATATATGAAATTAGAATATTGGTAGCTTTTGTAAGTTATTTTATGTTTTAGAATAGAATATGTAATGTTCTCAAGAATATTAGTAAAGCAAACATTGTTTCTTTATGTGCTGTTTACATATATTTCATTTAATATGGCAAGCAAGTGCATGTTTATACCAAAACTAATGTTGGATTTTACTTTAAATGTGTGTGCGTGGGCAAGGCAGTGGTGCAGTAGGTAGTGCTGTCGCCTCACAGCAAGAAGGTCGCTGGGTCGCTGGTTCGAACCTCGGCTCAGTTGGCGTTTCTGTGCGGAGTTTGCAAGTTCTCCCTGCCTTCGCGTGGGTTTCCTCCGGGTGCTCCGGTTTCCCCCACAGTCCAAAGACATACGGTACAGGTGAATTGGGTAGGCTAAATTGTCCGTAGTGTATGAGTGTGTGTGTGAATGTGTGTGTGGATGTTTCCCAGAGATGGGTTGCGGCTGGAAGGGCATCCGCTGCGTAAAACCTTGCTGGATAAGTTGGCGGTTCATTCCGCTGTGGCGACCCCGGATTAATAAAGGGACTAAGCCGACAAGAAAATGAATGAATGAATGTGTGTGCGTGTAAAACAATATAATTTGCACAAAGGAATTATGGGTTTCTTCTCTAAAGAAGTTGTCACCACTCCGTTTAGAGCATCATTATGGGCGTTTTACATTATAACTAACGTGGTTCAAATGATGGATCTGCGAAGAGAAACAGGTTTTGGGAAACACACATCACTACATTGGTCTATTCCCAAACTATGCATCATACTATAATATTTCAGCTGCTAGTTTCATCGTTGTTTGGGAAACGCACCCCTGTTGAGCACTGACTCTACATTAATAAATGTCAGTAGGCAGTTTATAACTGCAGATACAAATGCTCTATTCTTGACTTATAAGCATGTATAAGGTGCATAATGATTGTGTTTTCATACTTTTTTAATAATTTATTTATAAGTATCGCTTTATTTACAAACCAGTTATTTATGCATAGTTGATGTTGTTTTAAGATCATTCAGAATGAGTTATTAAATGATAAATAATCTATCCAAATTAACATTTATATATCTTAATATTTAGGCATATAATGATAGTTCATTTGTACATTAGTAAATGCTTTATTAGCTCAACTTCATCCAGTTATGTGACCTGATCTAAAGTGAGGACTATTTATGCTTTTTAAATCCCTAACAAATGACAATAAAGGCTCAGTTATGTTCTAAACAGGAAAAAAATAAAAAATAAATGACTTCATTAATTTCTATTCATTTGAAGATACACAAATGAAACTGAATCAAATTAAAAACGTTTGCAATCTTAACTAAAATAAACTTACTGTGCAGTTTAAACATTGCTAAATAACACTAAAAATGTTGCATCATCATTATTTTATACTCTGTGTGCTCTTTATGTGCTCCCTCTGAGCTAAATAATAAGACAAAACCAAATCTCCTACCACAGTTATGCTGATGACTTCAGTCCCACTGATAGCCTCTGCCAATGCATGGATGAAGTGAATAGTTGGATGTGCCAAAACTTTCTTCAGTTAAACTAAGAGAATACTGAAGTGATTGCGTTTGGGAACAGGGATGAGGTTATCAAGGTGAATGTATACCTTGCCTCTAAGGGTCAAACAACAAAAAATAAGGTCAAGAATCTTGGTGTGACTCTGGAGTCAGATCTGAGCCATGTCAAAGCAGTTAGTAAATCAGCATGCTATCATCTCAAAAACATTGCAAGAATTAGATGCTTTGTTTCCAGTGAAGACTTAGAGAAACTTGTTCATGCTTTTATCAGCAGCAGGGTGGATTACTGTAACGGCCTCCTCACTGGCCTTCCTAAAAAGACAGTCAGACAGTTACAGCTAATCCAGAATGCTGCTACCAGAAGCAGGAAATCAGAGCACATCACACCTGTCCTCAGGTCTTTACACTGGCTCCCAGTTACATTCAGAATAGATTTTAAAGTATTATTACTTGTCTTTAAATCAATAAGTTCCCTAGGATCTCAATTGATTACAGATATGCTCACTGAATAAAAACCTAATCGATCACTCAGATTATTGGGATTAAATAATTGAGAAATTCCAAGAGTTCAGTCAAAGCAGTTTAAATCAGCCTTCAGCTAACAGCACCCCCTGCTGCTGGAATTAACTTGCAGAAATGATCAGGTGTGCTCCAACATTAGGCACATTCACCTCAAGACTGAAAACACATCTGTTTAGCTGTGCCTTTACTGAATGAGCACGGTGCTGCTTCCGACAGATCGCACTATTATATATTTATTTTCTTTTTCATTCTTTTATAACCTGTTTTAACACATTTTAAACTGTTTTTATCATTTTAATTCGTTTAATCATTTTTTATGTTGTTGTTTCTTTTATTCCTGTTTATGTAAAGCACTTTGAATTACAATTGTGTTTGACATGTGCTATAGAAATAAACTTGCATTGGCTTATATTGTTAAATTATTATATTATTGCTGTTTACTCCACATTTATGTTGTATGTTGACCCTCCTGTTATTCAGCAATAGTTGATTTGATACTGAGCCTTTAATTGTCCTTAGCATAAATAATCTTCAATTTAGATTAGGTCACAAAACTCGATGATGTTGAGTTAAGAAGGCATTTGTACAAAGTAACCATCATTATATGCCTTAATAATAAGATATATAAACAGTGATTTCAATATTATTAATTATTTACTATCACATTCTGAATGATCTTAAAAACGCCAACTACTCTTAAATACAAATGGTTTGTAAATATTGAGGTACTTAATTTAGTAGTAAAAAATCTGTCAAATTATGAAAGTACAAATATTAAGCACATTACAAATGTGGTTATAAATCAAGAATACAGCATTTGTATCTGCAGTTATACACTGTTTACTAACGTTTATTAATGTGGAGTTAATGTTTAACAGATGATGAATTCACTATAAGCAAATGCTTATTAAATGATTCATAATGTGTAGTTATTATAAAGTGTTATCATTAACTTTAGTCATGTACAACTTGATTTGTTTGTTTAAATTCAGCCCATAAAATCAACATAGGCTCATTCTGAAATGTATGTACTGTTAGGCAGCATTTCGTCTTTAAAATGAACAATACGGGGTGGTACTGTTCCTTTTCGTGCTTACCAGTTGATTGTTTAGCTCCTTGTGGACGGCATTCCCACTGTTACCAGTTGGACCAGTAGCTCGCAACGTATGTCGGCGGATTTAGGACGCAGAGAGACCAGAGAGGAACGGTTACAGAAAGCCAGTGGCGCCCGCAGAAAATTTTCTTAGGGGTGGCCAGAAGAGGCCACTCCAAATCTTGGGGTGGCACACAAAAAAAATAATGTATTCAGTGTAATGTTATATTTTTGTTTTTGGTAAATGAAAAAATGTAGTTTTAATTCATTAATTACTCTTGAAATATTGCAATTTATTCCTTTAAATAGTTCAGCAAGTACATGTGCAAACCAAAAAAAAAAAAAAAAAAAAAATATATATATATATATATATATATATATATATATATATATTTTCTGTTATTTTTACATACTTTTATTGTACAGCATACAGTATATGCCATGTATAATGTTAATGAAGATTAATTCATTATTAAAACAGACTACTGAACAATTTGTAATAAAGGCATCCCCCCCACTACTACATTGTCATTGCTGTCTATTGAAGATGAGTGCGTGCTGTCAACAGCGATCGGGGAGGGGGAGGGGCAGTGAATCAGCTACGTCAGTGGCACCAGTTAATCCACAATAATTTAATGGCTGCAGTTCGTTCGTTCGTTGTTCGTTTAAATATTTTACATTTACGTAAGTACATGTATATTAATAATATCAACAGCAAAGTCATTGGGGTGACCACAGGGATGGCCAGAGTTTACACAGCAGGTAAGACAAAAACAAAAAAATAAAATAAAATAAACAAGTAAATAACAGGGTGAGAACGTGGTAAAATCTGAAAACGTGGTAAAAATCGAGGCTTTTCTTCTCTGGATTGCTTTTGAAAACACTGTCGGTTGGATTTAGGGAAGTGGGTGAGCGCTGGTCAATTGTTGCTTTTGAAAACACTATTGGTTGGGTTGAGGGAAGAGGGTGGGAGGGTCAATCGGTGCTTTTAAAAACACTATTGATTGGGTTTAGAGAAGTTGGTGGGCGCTGGTCAATCATTGCTTTTAAAAACACTGTCGGTTGGGTTTAGGGAGGGTGTGGGAGGAGGAATCGTTCAGGCAGTCAGGCAGGCAGTCAGTTGACATCGGCCTCTGGTGGATTTAGGTGAGACCAGTAGGCGCGGATGGCACGTGTGAGAGGAATTTGAGATCTAAAAAGCATACACAGCAGCATCTAGTGGATTTGCAGAAACGGTCACACTTTATTTTGATGGTCCGTTTGTTAAATTTAGTCACATTGCATCTACATGACAAATAATTCTAATTACAATGTAAGTAGACTGTTAGGTTGGGGTAAGGGTTAGTGTAAGTTGCCATGTACTTGCAAAGTTTCTTATAGTCATTTAAATGTCAGTCTACAGTCTACTAATACTCAAATGGATCATCAAAATAAATTAATAAATGTTAATGTTAATAAATAAATGTTACAGTGAAAACAAAAACTGCAAAAAAAAATGTACCTCCTGGTACGTATTTGGCACTCTCCAGAAATGTACATAGGGGTACATTTTCAGAATGAGCCTGGGTTGATATTGACTGGGTTGAATTGTTTGCAACCACCTAAACCTTTTAATAATTCAAATGAATTTTTTATGTATATGCAATCATAAGAGTGGTTTTAATGGACAATACTGGTTTTAATAAATCTTCATTTATTTATCTTTTCCTGCAGAATATTAAAGCCTGTTCCTTTCTGCATTTGAGGTAAGAGAATGGCTTTTTTATTTTGAGGCTGTTTGTTTTGTACTATGTTCTCGGCTCACAATGTGCTTTGTGATTACCTGTATAGACTGTTTGCTTGGTTAAAAATGTACATTTGTGATAGGAATGCATCAATATTATCACTGACAAGCTTATGAACATTTATGAAACATGCTTATTTTCTTGGAATCAAACCCACGCTTTAGCAATTAAGCTACACTAACATAACAGCTTCATTGCTTTTCATCATTCATTTGTTAATTTTCCTTCAGCTTAGTCCCTTTATTTATCAGGGGCCGCCAAAGCGGAATGAACCGCCAACTTATCATGTGTTTTACACATTGGATGCCTTTCCAGCTGCAACCCAGTAGTGGGAAACACCCATACATGCTCATTCACAGTTATACACTACGGCCAATTTAGTTTATTCAATTCACCTACAGTGCATGTCTGAATCTGGAGCACCCAGAGGAAACCCACGCCAACACGAGAGAACATGCAAACTCCACACAGAAATGCCAACTGTCCCAGCTGGGACTCGAATCAGTGACCTTCTTTCTGTGAGGCGAAAGTGCCAACCACTGTGATGCCTTACTGCATTTCAATCCTGCTAATAGTTGATCAATACTAAGCCTATGTTGCTTGAATTATGACATGAACCGGCATAGCTGTTCTGAGGTCGCTTCAGCTCAAGCCTGAGTTAGCATTCATTACATTCAGATTTGCTTCTTATAATGCCTCTGGCCAGATTAATAATTAACATTGGTCATTAGTCATTTGTGTTCCTGAGGAAAAGTCAACATGAAGTCAGTTTGCAATGCATTTAAGCTCTGTAATGTGACATACGCTACCAGGGCCGAAGTGGGACTCCTTTTCAGCCCTGGAGTTTCAAGACTGGCCCACTTCAGTTCATGACTGACTATATTAAAATAAAGTAATTTCTTATTCAGTACTTCAGTGATGATTTATTTGAACAGTTAACACAATGTAATGTTTAACAGTATCAGAATCTATTTTCTGTAAGAGTTAGTGCTCATAAATAACCAAACCTTGTAATGAAAAAATATCAAATGAAAACAAATATGAATTAAGCTGCATGTATAGAATAAAGACTCAAATCAAATGTATTGAATTTTCTCATGACACTATCACGTCTTTTTCAAGGAAACAGCTGCTTTATAACTTCAAATATTTGTCATAAATATGAGAACATTAAACTGTAGCTAAATCTCCAACTATATTCTTTAAAACATCACAATGTCCTTTTCTGCGATATCTGAATTTTTTTTTTCCCTCTCCGCTGTCGCCACTGGCTCGCATGGTTCAGGATTGGTAGAGCTACGCATCGATGAATTTGCTCTTCAGTGTTTGAACTCTCAGTAATGATTAAATCACACTGAACTGAGCTAAACTGAACTGAACTGAACTGAACTTAAACACTAAAAACTGAACTACACTGTTCCAGTTACTATGACCATTCATGTGAAGCTGCTTTGACACAATCTACATTGTAAAAGCGCTATACAAATAAAGCTGAATTGAATTGAATTGAATTGAATATATGTTGTAGAAGCCTATGTGTTTGAATTTAATACCTAATGTTATATGATGCATTTCAGTTTTGAATATTTTTGTTTTGAATTGATTGCATTTGGGAACTTAGAATATTTATGTTTTGTTAAAAACTGTGCGCATGCTCTTTTAACTCAAATCTGACGGCAGTGCGTACTTTAGAAGACACAGAGTTGCACAGTTTACTTTACCGCATCCGTGATGGGTGAAATTTGAGGTTATATTTAGTTTACTTTATTTTTATGTTTATGCATCTCTGAGTGAAGGTTAAAAGTCATCATTTGACTAGAAACGGATTTCATAGAATTCTTCGTTGGACATCATTAACCTGCAGGCTGCATTCTGCTCATGGGGCTGCGAGAAAATAAATAAGAGTAGAGCTGCGATAAAATAATGAATAAAAAGAGTGAGGCTATGGATAAATAAATAGATGAGTGAAAAAAGTGCGACTGCTCAGAGTGCAGGCAGTTAGGGACACCGGCCCTCTTGGCCAAAAAACGGACCGGCCCACCAGGAATACTCCCAGTTTTCCCGATTATCCAATCCGGGCCTGTACGGTTGTAACGAGGATCCTGACACGGAGGGATCCATTTGCAGTATTTAATAGACACAGTCCAATCACAATCATACAATACACACTAAAGTGCGAACTCACATCAACAGTATGCAATAATGGTCGAGGGGCTGGCGGCTGACAGACACAGTGTGATATAGCAGGCATAGATCAGTGGCAGGCGGCGTGGTTCAGAGTCTAGATTACAGGCATGGGTCGGGGGCAGGCAGCGTGGTTCAGAGTCCAGATTACAAGCAAGGTTCGGGGCAGGCAACTCAGAGTCAGAAACAGTCCGGGGTAAAGCACAGGAGATCAGGCAAGGGAATAACACTCAGAGATGTTAGCCGTGGCAGAACAAGACTTCGCACTGAACTGGTGTTTGAGCGTGGCTTAAATCAGGGAGCGTGGGTCGTTAATGGGATGGATGACAGGTGTGTGCGCAATCAGTTTAAGTGGATGATGTAATGCTAGAAGTCCGGAGATGGTGGCCTCTGCTGGCCAGCGAGGGGAATGACTGGGACCGAGTCAGTAACAACGATACTATTGTTAAGTGAAACTGAAAATTGTACACAGAATTATGGCACAGATGTTTTATTTATTTACTTGTTTTACTGGAAAAATTACATTGAGACTAAAAACTAAATGATTAATTGTAAGAATATTTAGCTTTGTATCATTTCAATTTAATTAAACACACATAGAGCGGCACGGTGGCTCAGGGGTTAGCACTATCGCTTCACAGCTGGTTCAAGTCCAGGCTGGGCTAGTGGCCATTTCTGTGTAGAGTTTGCATGTTCTCCCCGTGCTGGTGTGAGTTTCCTCCGGGTGCTCCAATTTCCCCCACAGTCCAAACACATGCGCTACAGGAGAATTTAATAGGCTAAATTTTCCATAGTGTATGTGTGTGAGTTAGAGTGTATGGGTGTTTCCCAGTACTGAGTTGAAGCTGGAAGGGCGTCTGCTGTGTAAAACATATGCTGGAATAGTTGGTGGTTCATTCCCTTGTGGCGGCCCTTGATGAATAAAGGGACTAAGCTGAAGGAAAATGAATGAATGAATGAATTAAGATCCTTCATCCACTAAAAAGGACACTTGATTGGATTGAGAGATGTTTGATTTCATGACGACTTTAAATGCAGCTCTGATTCATTCTTCGCTCATACATTGAGTCCACTGAATAAAATCCCGTCTGCTACACTTATTGTTCTTCCTGCAGAGTGAGTTTGTAGCTGGCTTGTAGTCTTCAGGGACACGCATGGCGTAACTGTGTGACAGTTTAACTAATTAAAGTCTGTAGCAGTGTGAGGTGCAGAATGTGTGACTGGGAAAAGATTGGTCCATAGAGGCCAAGATGTATTCAATATTAGCAAGAGAGAGAGAGAGGGGGAGAGGGAGAGAGAGACTCTGTGGCTCTAAATGTGCTACTGCAGCTTGTTATAAAGATCCTTTGTTGCAAATCCACCAGCTTCTTTTGACATCAGGAAGAGACCAGCTGAGAGTGGCAGTGCTGCACAGCATGAGCAAACACACACACACACACACATATACACACAATAGTGTGTGTACATCTTTGCAGAGGCTCTGTCACATCTGTTATTCTTAAAATATACTAATTAGGGGTTTGCTAGGGTAAGCATCATTATTACCATTGTTAATATCTGAAGTATTAAACTTTGCATGGGTTTTGTCCTTTTTATGCATCATACTATTGCAATGATGGCAGTATATCTGGAATCTGGAATAATCAGATTAATTTAACTTGGAGATGGATTAAACTTAAAAAGGTTAGAGCTGAAAGTTTTTATAAAAACTTGTCTTAGCAACAACCATGAACATCTGCATTACAATGTGCGAACACCTCCTTAGCAACTGCACAGCTATGCCACAATAATCACCTATTGCATCCTACCAAAATCATACCAGCATTCAAGTAGCGCTGCATAGCAACATTTTGCAACACCTTAGCAACCGCATAGCAGTGACCTGGCAACCACCAGATGACCCCTGGCAACCACATAACAACATGCTAACAACACATAAGCAATTGCATGGTGATGAACTAACAATTGCCCTGAACACCCTACTGCAACATCCTAGCAACTGTACGGCAATATTCTAGCTCAGACCACTCAGAACACCCATTAAAATGTATAATATCCTGCTAACAACTGCATGCCAATGCTCATTAAATGCCAACAACCACCTTGAACACCCTAATAAACACAACACAATTCTAACAACACCTTAACAACTGCATGTCAATGCCCTTGTAGCTACCTGTACCAGCATACCAACAATACACCAACATTTTAATAACACCTTAGCAACTGCATAGCAGTGACCTGTTAATCGCCAGAAGACCCTACCAACCGCTTAACAACATGCTAACAACACCTTAGCAATTGCATAGCATGAACTAACAACTGCCCTGAATACTCTGGTAACTGCAAGGCAATGTTTTAGCAACCACTCAGAACACACATGTAACTGTCTAATAGCAACAATACCTTAGCAACTGCACGCCAATGATCTAATCTCCTTCAACTCCATAATGACTACATAAAATCCTAACAACACCTTACCAACTGCATGACAAAGCTCAAGCAACCACCCAAAACACCATAACAACTGCTTAGCAACATGCTAATAAGATCTTAGCAACATCATAGTAACAATATACCATTACCTTAGCAACTGCATGTCAGTGTTTTAGAAGTCTCCTATACCAGCCTAGCAACTGCATACTT